GGAAAAGTCACTGTTGACTCCCTCTCAGTGCCTCGAATTCATGGGGGCTTTCTTGGACGCCAGGGTGGCAAGAGCATTCCTCCCCAGAAACAGATTTCTGGCCATAGTGGAGCTGGTCTCCGAGTTAACCTGGTTCCCCATTACAACTGCCCGAGTCTGCTTGAGACAGGTGGGCCACATGGCAGCATGCACTTATGTGGTATTCCATGCTCGAATGAGGCTCAGACCCCTGCAAGCCTGGTTAGCAAAGTCATTCTACCAGTCCAGGAGTTTCTGGGACATGGTTCTCACCGTGCCTCCAGAGGTAATCGCCACCTTACAGTGGTGGACTCAGGAGGCTGTGGTGTGCAGTGGGGTTCCGTTTACTGTGCCTCCCCCCTCGATCACACGGGTGACAGACGCCTCGGACCTGGGTTGCGGAGCACACCTGGAGCATCACAGGACCCAGGGCTTGTGGTCTCCTGCAGAGCGAGCCCTGAAAATAAATGTCCGGGAGCTCAGGGTGGTTAGGAGAGACTGCGAGGCCTTCATGTCAAAGTTGTCCCACTGCTCTGTCCTGGTGCACCTGGACAACACGGCAGCTGTTTTTTACCTCAGCAGGCAGGGGGGAGCCCAGTTGCCTCCCCTCTGCTGCGAGGCTTTGTGGCTGTGGGACTTGTGCATAGTGCACGATATAGTTTTGCAGGCAGAGTACCTGCTAGGGTGCAAAAACTTGCTGGCCAATGCTCTGAGCAGGTCCTTCGGAGCCCACGAATGGTCCCTCAAGGATTCTGCCCTTCATCTGGTCTTCCACAGGTGGGGTTGTCCCCTACTAGATCTGTTTGCCTCGGCACACAACATCAAGTGCCAGAATTACTGCTCCCTGTTGGGCCTGGGGGACCTCTCCAGGGGAGATGTCATGACTGTGCTGTGGCCGGCGTGCATCCTCTATGCATTCCCACCGTTTCCCCTAATTCCCAGGGTTCTGACCAGGGTCAGGACCTTCAGGTCCACGGTCATCCTGATAGCCCCTTGGTGGCCCAGGCAGTTCTGGTTTCCGATCCTGGTGGATATGCTCACCGAGCCTATAACGCTCCCATTGGTTCGGGATCTCCTCACCCAACCCTGGGACGGGGGGCTCATGGTTCACCTGAATCTCAGCTCTCTCCACCGGATGACCTGGTTTATCTGTGGCTGACCCAACCGGAAAGGGAATGTTCCCAGGAGGTGCAGATGGTGCTCTTAGGTAGCAGGAAGCCATCCACCAGGCAGTCCTACGCAGCCAAGTGGTGGCGGTTCTCGTCTTGGGCATTCAGAAGGGGAGTGCACCCATCCTGTGCACCTGTCCTGTCCATTCTGGACTATTTTTTCGAGCTCAGGTCTGGTGGGCTCTCTACCTCTTCTATCAAAGTTCATGTGGCATCACTCTCCGCTTGGGACCTTAACCTCATGTTGTCTAGACTTATGTCGCCCCCCCTTTGAGCCGCTCTTTGAAGCACCTCTCTATGAAGATTGTGTTCATTGTGGCCATTACATTGTCTCGCAGGGTTTCCGAGCTGAGGGCGCTAACTGTAAACCCGCCCTACCTAGTGTTCTCGGACAATAATGTGAGGGTCCGCCCTCACCCAGCCTTTCTCCCCAAGGTGGTGTCACCGTTCCATCTGTCCCAAGATATTTACCTCCCAGTTTTCTTTCCAAAGCCCCATGCCTCTCCTAGAGAGCCAGTACTCCACTCCCTAGATGTTAGGCGGGCATTAGCCTTTTATGTTGATAGAACAAAATCCTTTCGTAAGTCCACGCAACTGTTCGTGGCTTTCGCGGACAGAATGAAAGGGCTCCCTATCTCGACCCAGAGGTTGTCCAATTGGGTCGCAGGGTGTATCAGAGGGTCTTATGTCCTGGCCGGGAAGGTCCCGCCCCGGGTTACAGCACATTCCACCAGGGCGCAGGCGTCCTCTGTAGCTTTTGGGGCTCAGGTTCCAATTACAGAAATCTGCAGGGCGGCCACGTGGTCATCAGTACATACGTTTACGGCGCACTATGTGCTGACACAGCAGGCCAGGGAGGATGTAGGGTTGGGCTCTGCGGTTCTCAGCTCTGTGTTGTAAACGTGTTGGTTTTTTTCTCTGTACCACATTGCACTTTATTCAGCAGTTCTCTGTGTTATGTTACTTGAATAAATATATTTTGGGTTGTTCAACTTTCATGGACTTCTCTTTCTGGGTGCTCTGACCCCTCCTTCGTAAGTGGGGTTGGCTTGGAAGTCACCTGATTCGAATGGACATGAGCAACCACTCGAAGAAGAAAAGAACGGTTACTTACCTGTAACTGTTGTTCTTCGAGATGTGTTGCTCATGTCCATTCGATTCCCCCCCTACCTCCCTTTCGTCGGAGCATCCGGCAAGAAGGACCTGAGGAGAGGGAGCGCTGGCAGGGGTACTTACGCTCCGCCATAGTGGCGCCATTCCAGGGGGCGCCCTGCCGGTGCTATGGGTACCGCTAGGGAAAACGCTCCGGAAGACGCGGTGCACGCGGTGCACACACCTGATTCGAATGGACATGAGTAACACATCTCGAAGAACAACAGTTATAGGTAAGTAACCGTTCTTTTTTTTACTCCAGATTCTTTGCTGTGATTAAAAAGTTCCACGGGTGCTGGTTTTGTGCATCCTCATTCATGCACAGAACTTATTTTAGGATGATCTTCATCTCTTCTAATCTTTTGATGAAGTCAGATGCGTTTATGGTAAATCTGTCTATAGGGCAAAATACGGAAATTTGTCAAATCTACCTAATATTATAGGACATTTAATCAAGATTCCGAAGGTATAAGTGTAATGCCTTCTGATGAGGCATCATTGTACACTTTGCCAAGGATGAGGTTGTTTTTTGCTTGAAGAGTGACAAAACCCCTTTTGTGTTTGCTGGGCATCTACTTGGAGGTCATACACTTCTTCATGAATAATTACAAAAGGGTGTTATGGAGCAGTAACTCTTTAAATTCTGTTTGCATCTTACATGGACAAACTGAATTCTCCATCCCTCCCTCCTACTCTGAAGGTTGCCTGATATGGAGGGATGGATTCTGTCTTACCTGTGAATTTTCATTCCTACAACCCTTCATGTCAGATGGTATGTCTCCTTACTCATAGGAATGTAATATGTCCAGGGTTTTTTTCTGGCTAGTGTTCACTTGTTTTTAAGCAGCTTGAAAAAGAACTCAGAGATCATCAGAAGATCCCTAAATTTGCTGCAAATGGTTTGAATTGAATAGCACTCTTGAACTTTTACAACAAAGAAATATTAACTATATAAGATACTGTTTTGGGGAGTTCTTCAATAGTAGTGGTCCTAACTCCATTTCAGAGCAAAGATCTGATTTGACCCCAGTTTTCAGGGAATGACCCACTGTGAAGGCTGTCTGACATGGAAAGTTTTAGACCAGGTTTAAACTTCAAACAATATATTGGTGTGTAAATCCACACCCTGAGTAAATAGCTATACCTCTCCTCTTCCCCTCCCCCCCTCCCGCCCGCCCCATTGAGCTTCTGTTGAAATAGCTACTGCTTCATGGGCAGGTGGATTAATTACACTGACAGGAGAAGGTCTCCTGTCAGCAGAGCAGTAGCTTTAACTTAAACGCTGTGGTTTTAAGACTAGACATGCTCTTTAGATGAAAAGTGGCAGATAAGACAAGATCATTTCCTTTTGAAATTGTGCAGCAAGCTGCACATTTTTCCTGCCCCACTGGCTTGTCTGAAGCTGTGAACTAAACCACTTTTGCTCTTCTGTTTTGCTGTCTACTGTATTTACACGATAGTAGTAAATTTTATCCTCCAATTGGTTCATAACATTAATTTTCCCATACTTGCAGTTTTAAAAGCAAACTTCAAAACCTGGGAGCAAAACAAATCTAAAGCAGTTATTCTTGCTCTGCATCATTTTATATCTTAGCCAAGAGTCTTCATTGAATTGCCAACTTGTGAGAGTTTCAGAAATCCTAAATAATTCCAATTGTGATACTTGTTCAGCAGATCCTAAGGCTATCAAACAATCTATGGCACATCTTTCCTTGGAATCTGGATCTAAAAGCAGAAACTTGCTATTATTACTTCAGTAACTCCTTTTCTCTTACAAATTTCCCTTCTACCATTTACAGAGTTTGAGAGTTTTGTCCCACCTTGAGTTTCATTGTTATGAGTATTCCATTATGAGGCTTGGTGGATGTGGTTATGTAAACTTTGTGGTGATACATGCTATAGTGACTGGTGCATTAGATATGCATGAGTAATGTTTTAAAAATACTTCCCCTCAATTAATTTGCATTATGTATTGTACTCTTTTACACTAAAGTAAATCAATATATTTTCAACAGTGTACGCCATGTCTTAAACATTTGGACGCAGATCCTCTGGTATGATACTGCAGTCCTAAAGTACATTATCAGTGGATCATGCCCCTAAACTTGGGGCAGCTACCAGTTGTAGCTTGCAGGCTATTGTAAATTATGTGGAGGAACTAATCTGGCACAAATAGTATTTGTGAATGAATGAGCATCAAGGCTGTTCTTTCATCTGATTGCTCTTTCCTGCACTAAGCATACTCCAATGCAAATATAGCTGATTCATAAATAAATTTAATGCTGGCTAGGAATATCTTATCCAGCAAGTGGCAATATTTCAGAATGAAAATTCAAATCTTTGAGCTCCAGGATGAATTAGAAAAAATAAATTCTCTGAACTTGCTTTGAAAAATAGTCTTAAAGCCAATGATAAAAATTGCAAAAATTGAGGAAAATATTAGTTTTCATTAAACTAGTCAAGAAAAAAAACAGGTTGGTCTTCATTTAGTTAATGAATGACTGAGTACTAGTCACTTAATCCTAAAAGTACAATTCTGTTACAATTATAGCTAAAATAAGTTCTAATTAGAGTTACCTTATATTGAATTTAAATTTAAACTTTTAACTATAATTCTTGAAATGAAATATTGGAATCTGTATATTTCAAATATAAGGAAATTTAACATTAACTTGTTTACAACTTATTTTCTTAGAAATTACTTTCAGTTGTGCATAGTATCCTTCTCTTATTGGGGTTTGTATTGTCTAAACAAGGTCTAATCAGGATCAGAGCGACATTGTGCTAGATGTTGTATAAACACATATTGGGGAATATGTCTGTACCACCCTCTAAGGAAAAACAAAATTCAAGTTAAGCTAGATATCCTACATGTAAGGACAGCATGACATGTTTTCCTTTTAGACATTATTTACAATATTTAGTACATTCAGCACCTGATTGTGATTTGGTGGTCTCTCGGCATTACTATAATAAAAATAAAATGTACCTGTGGCAAAATACCTTTATGACTTGAAAATTCAATGAGTACGTTTTGTTTTTGACTTGGGAAAAAAAGGCAAGTTAAATTAAGTAAATATATATGTAAATTGTGGCCTTGGAGCCTAACAGTTCAGTCATGCAAGTGGGAAAAGTAAACATACTTGATCCAATTGAAAAACATCACTGTATCCTTAGACCTTTGGTCTTTCTGTATTTGTTAGAAGCAAGGTCATTTTTCCCCCTTTACAGATTATTCCTTTGATTTTTGTTTTTTAAGATTCCTATTTATAGTAGTTGAGTACAGATTTACACATACACCGCACATTGTAAGAACTGCTGATATTGTCTCCATAAATATTGCTTTTATTATGTTTGCATAGTTTCAACAATGTTGACATTGAGGCAGGTAAGAAGACAAGGACTCTGCCTGAAGACGTTGTCTCATTGGATTGCAATGTACAAATGTTGGATGGGATGTAGAGAAAGCGTTGATAGAATAGCACAACTAATGCATGGAATCTTGCTCCTGGAGAGTCTTCAGTCTACGTAATTAGTATTTTTGAGGAGAGGGCTAGTATTTCATCAACTTTCTGGCAGAAGTACGTGTAAAGGAATGACTTGGAGGAGAGGGTGTTGCCGATCCCAAACATTAAAAACTTGTGGTTCATGTTCCAAATAATCTCAAGTGGCTTAAAACCACAATTTGTTTTAAAATGTGTTGCATGCTTTCTGGTATTTTTATACTTACAGGGGAAGAGCTACCTACCTCCACTTTGTGTAATCTGTCAAAATTGAACCTTAATTGTGCATGTGTGGGGGTGTGTAGGTGTAGACCTCACAGTTCTAAGTTTGGAGGAAGCTTGTCTTACTGCCTCCAGTTCTCTAGGGTATTAGGAGCTGCCATCCTGTTCCTTTTTTACACTTCCCAAAGAAGACAGATTAGCAGTACTGGAAACTGCAAGAGATCAAAAATTGTGAGTCAGACCCTTCAAAAGAAGAAAAAAATCTTTAGTCAAGCTATGAAAATTTTAGATTGGCCCCCAAAATCATAAGTTAATAAAAGGGCAAAAAACATGATTTGATTTATTTTTATATCTTTTGACTTTGTAACTCCCCTTCATTCTTCTGTAATGTATATGTGATAAATTCAGGCTAAAAAGTCAACCCTAAATGCACAACTCTCCATAGCTATTCAGATGGAGACCCACTTACCTTACTCTCTCTACAGAGATGGGGGGGGGGAACCTCCTATATATTTTCTTTTACTGTTTTGACTCAGCAGCAATGCTTTTGGAGCAGTGGGAGGCAAATGTCTTTTCTACCTGGATCCCAGCAGGACTAGTTCCAAGTTTTCCCTCTTCCTTGCCTCCTGCTATCCCAGCATCCCCCTCCCCCTCTGATAAAGCGCCATAAGTGAAGGTCAGGTCTATATCCTTAGCCCCATGCCTTTTTCTGTGTGTCCGAGTTTTCTAACCCATTGCCTAGCACTATGCTGCCTTGGGTGTGCTGCTTGCCATCTCATTCCAATCTTATGATTTATGCTGGCCCCCATATGATCAGGAGACACCATTTTCCTGAGGACAGGGGACTCCAGTGAATGATGACATCCATTTTTGAGTCAGCCTCACTCTTATCTGCAAAACTTAAAGGGAGAGGGGCAGCCTGAAGCTTTAGTTCCACTGAAAGAAAAGGGATTTTATAAGCATTGTGGATGAGGAAAAAGTCATATTATTGAACAAAGAAATTAGAAATTCATGAGAACTCTTAAATACCAGAAATGGTGAGAGATGACAGTACTAGGAGGATAGGACCACAATGTAAGAAAGGGCCAGAGAGGAGAATTTGCAAAATATACGAAAGGGACAGAGAGAGTAGTAAAAAGAGTAGAGAAGTAGGCAGGAGCTAGGAGTTGTGCTGTACATTGCAAGCTATAAAATGTAAATTTGATGTTGAAGGTAAGGGGAAGGATGAAGGGATTTGAATTGGAAAGATATTTAGGATGGCCCTCCTTTTCCCTTAAAAAAAAAGTGGTTACCAGTGAGTAGATCGGGATCTAATGGTAGATCCTGGAGCCTCTGAAAAGTGATCTTGACTGGTTTGGCTGGGAGGCTATCAGGTGCTGGCAATTCAGCTGCCCCTCCCTCTTCTTCCCTCTTCTCCCACACCGTGCTGCTCCTGCCCTTTGCCTTGGAACTGCTCCTCTGGAGCGTCCTGTTTGCTCTGTAGGGTGGAAGAGACAAAAGAAGCTCACACTGATGTCAGAGTGAGCAAGGGTGGGCCTTGTGAAAGGGGCAGAGAAGAAGGCAGGGCAAGGATATTTGGGTTTGAGAGAGATCCTGGATTGACTTATATTCAAAAAGTGCTTACAAAGGTTGGAGACTTGTGCCTTAGAAGTTTTGAGACAGCAAAGTGTTGATTACTTCATTTTATTTCCTATTCCTTATTGTTTCTAGCTGCATAATACCAAATATTTCTAAGTATCATTTAGCTTTTGAGATGCCTGCTGCCTAAAATGGTTAGTCTCTATTGTTATGAATGAGTTTGGTTTGTAATAGGGATGTTAAATATAGTTTAATCGACTAATCAACTAGTTGGTGGATTTTCCATCGACTAGTTGATTAGTCGACAAGCAGGGGAGCAGCAGCAGGGTTAGCACCTGGTCCCGGCAGCTAACCCCATTGCAGCTTTGCCTTTTAAATATATTAAGAGCTGGCAGGCTGCTAATACATTTAAAAGGCTGAAGCACAGCAGGGGGGGACCCGGAGTGAGCCAGGACAACTGGTTGCCAGCTCATGCTGGGTCCCCCTTGCTGAGCTTCTGATTTTTAAATATTTTAAGAGCCTGTAGGCTCTTAGTACATTTAAAGTGCTAAAGCACAACAGGGGGAACCTGGCACGAGCCAGGAATCAGCTGGCTTGGCTCATGCTGGGTCACCCCCCACTGTGCTTCTTATTTTTAAATGTATTAAGAGCTGGCAGGCTCTTAATACGTTTAAAAAGTAGAGTCCTGACTTGTGCCCAGTCCCAGATGCTCTGAATCAGTTGATTCCCACCTCGCACCTGATCCCCACTAAGTCCCTGCCCCCTGCAGAGACGGTGCTGGGAGGAACCAGCTTTTAAGTGGCTCCACCCAGCACTGGCTCCTGCTCTCTCCTTGTTGCCTCGGTTAGAGGCCACAAGGGGGAGGGAGAGCAACTAGTGGAGGAACTACTCTACTATCCAATAAGCTTTTGCTTATCAGATAGTTGACTAGTCACTTACATCCCTAGTTTGTAACTAACATTTGAGTGTAAGAAAAAAGTGAAGTAATCTTGTCCCTTATAATACTAGATCGATTTTCCCCATATAGTATGCCCTAAATTTTCTTAAACATTTGTGGCCTAGTTTTGGAAAAAAATTCCGCATATTGTTTTTATCAGTCTGCATCTGGCAGACAGGTATTGCATATGGTTTGGTCTCCAGTACTTAGTGCAGGACTACTCAACGTGCGGCCCATGGGCTGCATGCAGCCCGCAGCCCATTTGTTTACAGCCCACAGTGCAGTTCGGGTTTATGTGGGGCTCAACATGTGGCCCATGGGTGTGATCCTTTGAACATGGTCTCCACTGGGAACATGCTCCACAACAGCGAGGCGTCTCCCAGGCAGGGTGAACATTGAAAGATGCAAGCAGACAGGCTGGCTGGAACAGACGGGTACAGCGTGTTGGCATTTCTAGCCCCCAGGAGGAGGTGCCAGGAGTGCCGGAGCATTGTGTGAAAGAAGCTATTTACATGTATATGCAACCACACTTAAGTTGAGGCCCTCGGCATGTGCTGTGAGTATCATTGTGGCCCCCGGAGCTTCCAAAGTTGAATAGCCCTGACTTAGCGTGACACTGTTTCATGCTGCTTTGGTTGTGCCATTGCAAAATAGGGATGTAAGAGTTTAACTGGTTAACCAATAAAAGTGATGCTTATCAGTTTCTCTTAATTTTTGAACTCTGCTTGGGTACTGAGAAAGGGTTTGGCAGTTGGGACCCTACTACCAATGTGTCTGCAGCCTATAACTCCACTTAATCAAAGTTTTGCATTTGTCAATTTTTCCTTATTTTTGTTGTACTAGAGGGGAAGGAGAACATGTGTCTGAAGAAGAAAGGGAAGGGTAATGGAAGAGAGTTGAGCAATCTTCATAGACCAGCAGTTCCCAAACTATGAGTGCACCTCCTAACCGGAAAAAGGTTCAGGGGGTGCAGTGGGGCACAAGCCAGCCCCCACAGGAGATGGGGAGGGAGCCCTGTGTTGTTCTCTCCCATCTCTAGATCTGCTTTGGCTCTGCACCCAGCCACAGCCTTGGCTGCCACTTTTGGTTTCCAACCATGGCTCCTGAGCAGATGTGGGGACAGAGTTGCAGATGGGGGTGGAAGGGAGAGGAGGGGGTGATGTGAAAAGTTTGGGGACCACTGTCAATATCCATGTGCTACCAGTTCTCCTTCCTGGCTTTTTATTGCTAGTTCCCTCCTTCTCTTGGCACTTCTCTGCTCCTGCAAGCACAAAATTAGGATGCTCTGTTGACAGATGCACAGTCAACAACTGATGTTTTTAATTAGTCAATTTAAAGAATGAAGTTGGCCATGACTTTTCAAAACAGCTGCAAGTTAAGAGTCAGACTGACTAACATTCATAAAATAAATTGATGTTTGTCTTTATTTGTTACAGAGACGTGGAGCAATTTCCTATGACAGCACTGATCAAACTGCATTGTATATCCGTATGCTAGGTAAGCATGGCAACTTCTGTATTGCAGCACTAATATATTTTTGTGACTATTTGTTTTTAAATGTTTGTGGTGAACTGTAACATAGTTTATAAATTTTTTAAAACTTTTCAGTTTGTCCTTTTTTTGCTGCCACTATTTTAGTCAAGTTACTTTTCCATTTTACTAATAGCTGCAAAAAAGTTGTTGCAACCAAATATTGTATTTGGAATTGAGGCTCCATTGTACAAAGAAAAATATTTAATAGTAGATAAGTTGAATAGGTTTGCTTTGGATTATGTTTTGTGTACTTCAGTTAAATCTCTACCAAAAAATATTAATGGATGGAAATAACATTTGTATGTTCATTTTTAAACCATATTATGTAAAGTCTGTATTTGTATTGCAGTACCTTTGTTGTCCCTGATTCATTATGCATATAAGAGAACATTATAGCACGTGTAAGAAGAGCATGTCATTTTTTTGCTGTAATTAAAATTGAATGGTTTATAAATGAGTAAATATTTGCATATAAGTATAGTTTTGACTTGTATGTGTAAAGTTCATTATGGAATCTGTCTTAAGTCTCAATCTTGAAATAATGATGTGAATTAAAATGGAATAACTGAAGCCTGTTCGGACTTAGGGTGGAAAGAGCTGCCCACAGATTTGGGGAAGTACTGAGGGTGCTAGCTTGGGGGTAGCTCTTTCCCATCCTGTTTCTTTATTTAGACCTACAATGAGGTCAAGGGGTGGTGCAGCGAAAGTATCCCAGAAGTATCTTCTCTCTTATGCAGCCTTTTAGGTGTCAGCCCCAGCTTGACTTCACTTTCCTAGAACTGGACAGGAATGGCATTTAAGAATAAGGAAAAAGACAGAGTCAGCAGCCTATCAGAAGGTTGGGAGCTGAATGCGGCAGTGCCTAGAGAATGTACAATAAGATTGGGGTTTAGTGCCTGTCAGACAGTGTAGGACAATGAAGAGAGAACTAAGATCAATGCCTGGGGAAAGGGATGATATTGAAGCCTCCTATCTATCAACTAGGATTAAAAGGAAGAGGATTATCTGATCGTGCATTCAGGATGACTTTTTTTCTGATGTGCTCATATACAAAGGGGAAATTCCCCCTAAGAATTCAAAAGTAAGGTACCAGACCAAAAAAGAATAATTTGTTTTTGGATATCAAGATTCTGCCGTGAGTGATGATTCGTATATATATCTCATATGTGGAATATGCATGTGCATCATGCATCTGTGTCCAGAGTTTCTTGGAGGCAGTGTTCATTGGCTTGCACATGTGCAATAGCTCTCCTTGTGGTCCCCAAGATCATAAAGGGTCGAATCTTTCCAGTTCTTTCCTACTACACCCCATAGTTTAAATCAGAATTTTGTTTAGTTCCTTTTTATTGCCTCATTCCCGTAAGGATCAAATACTGTTAGGTGTTTTAATAGTATAGAATAGCATAGCATTAACATTTTTCCCCTTGAGAATTCTGGGATTATACCCAGAGGTCAAAACCTGTTTCCTTCTATAGCTCTCTTTCTGTGAACATTGAACATCAACATTGCCTAAACTGCCTGGATGAGGTTCACATTTCTGCCAGGTCAAACATCTGCCACTCTTTTCCCCACCAGAATTCATGAGGGTCAAGACTCAGAAAACACTTCCTAGAGAAGGCAATGAAGCTCCAATCAGATGTAGGGTGGGGACCTATTCTGTACATCAGGGGTTCCCAAACTTTTTGACACGAGGGCCAGTAAATCCATTCACAAACTTTTGGAGGACCAGTAATGTTCATTTTCATATTTGCATATTCATTAATCAAATTATGAATATTCAAATAAGTTGTTTCTGGTCCTCCCAAATCTCCCAGTGCCAGCTTTAGCAAAGCTTTTGATATGGTCACCCACAATATTCTTGCCAGCAAGTTAAGGAATATGGATTGGATAAAGGGGCTGTACGACAGACAGAAAGCTGGTTAGACCAGGGTTTCCCAAACTTTTTACTTTAATTGGAACCCTTTTTTTTCAGTTCTGCTTTTTGCAGCCCAAAAATATAAACACATGAAAAACAAATGAAGAAAATACCAGACATATAACATGTCTGGTATTTTCTCAGTAGGTAAGTTGTATTATTACTAGATTTATCAGTTTGTAGTTTCAAACTGCCTGGCTGGTAAATGTGCTCAGGCTGCATGAGTGTGTCTACCAGCCAGATAGTTCGCAACTACTAG